TTTTTCTAAGTATAAGTCAAGTATACTTAAATGTCATTTTAAGTATATTTCTGAGAAGTACATAAAGCCCATTTCTGAGAAGTACATAAAAAGACTAAAAGACTAAAAGTATACTTTCCTATTTTTAGTTTAAAAGAAGTATACTAATAGCACGCTTGAATAAACTTATTTTTCGTAAGGGAGAACTTGGACAGAAATAATAGTGTACACAGCAACAGTAGAGCAATGTATTGCTATGCTCAAAAGAGAAACCATGGGTAGGTCATCAGGGTAACTGAGTTATCCATACAGACAAAGCTCAAATATATTTAAGTAAGCTGTCTAAAGGCAGATTAGTAGAAGGTGTTCTTTGTGTTTAGGCCAACAGTCCACAAGCCACATTTGAAGATTTGCTTTCATGGTTTTCTTCTACTAGCCTTATTTGCAGACTTTTTCACATCGAACGAGGCAACACATCATTAACCCTTTAAAGCCTATATATGATAAAAGCCATATATGATGTATCATAAAGCCATATATGTGACACTGCACCACAAAACCAGTCATAAGTAGCACTGGTATATTTGTAGTAATAGTCAAAATTATCGATTTTTCTTTTAATCCAAAAATCATTAGGATATTAAAGATCATGTTTCATAAAGATATTTTGTAAATTTCCTGCCATAAATATATCAAAACTTCATTTTGATTAGTAATATGCATGGCTAGGGACTTCATTTGGAAAACTTTAAAGGAACACTCCACTATTTTTGAAAATTGGCTCATTTTCCAACTCCCCTAGAGTTAAACAGTTGAGTTTTACCGTTTTAGAATCCATTCAGCCGATCTCCGGGTCTGGCGTGCAGCAGGCGCAATGATATTACGCAGCGCCTGAAAATAGTCCCCATTACGCTCCCGGTGCAAGCAGGTGGTCACATTGGTTATGTTGACAGAAGTTAGCCTATTTTCAGGCGCTGCGTAATATCAATAGTCTTAGTACACGATGTAACTACAGAAGAGTCAAGTTTTAAATAGGAAAAATATAGAAACGAGCCTATTTTCAAAAATAGTGGAGTGTTCCTTTAAGGGCGATTTTCTCAATATTTAGATTTTTTTTTCTGCACCCTCAGATTCCAGATGTTCAAATAGTTATTGTAGCAAAGTTCGTAGTTCGGGAAGAAGGAGGCGGGAACCGGCGGACATTTAAACAAACTTCAATAAAATAAACAAACACAAAATAGCGCGACAGCCCCTCGCGGACGACTGTCGCGCACAAACAAAACCAAACCACAAAATAAACTCCAGGCCTGGTCCTCTCTCGTCTTGCACTGTCGTCACTCCTCCTTTTTATCCTTCCGGAGCTCCTCCGTGAGACTCGAGACCGGTGAGTGGTGCAGGTGTCGCTCATTATCAATTACTCCACCGGCCTCGCTCCGTTCCCACGGCTCTCGGCCCCGCCCCACTCGTCACAGTTATATCTCGGCCAATTATTGTCCTATCCTAACAAGCCATTCATCAATGGAAAGCTTATTTATTATAGATGATGTATATATCTAAATTTTACTAAATTGACCCTCATGGTTTTGTGGTCCAGGGTCACATATGTGTATCATAAAGCCATATATGATACACAAATTTCTAAGGCCTCTAAATTATCAACATGTTCAAAACTGTACGCAATCTACTATTTGCCTTCTGTTATCTGACTGATATTTTATACTTTTAATCTTTTAGATTATAGATTATAAACGTTCAGACTTCTATATTGTTAGTAATATTTCAAGATAGACACTTACTGGACTGAAGCAACTTAGGTTTACTTGATTATCCATACATACTTTTTTAGAAAAATAAATAAAATATAAATATGATACATCAGGCATTTGAGAAACATTGCATTATATGTTTTGCCCCATGATAAAAACTACAGAACTTTGATGAGAAAACATAAAGCATTTAAATATTATCTTAATAAGGCTGTTATTAGGAAATATAGTGACAAATGATATATACATTTTACATAAGAAGTCAGCTATACTGTTACATTACAAGACATCAGAATTTCATCTTGATTTTTTTTTCTATATAGATAACAACAGCTGTACCAAACTATATATTTTTGGTTTTATAAGTTTGGGCCTCTGAATACAATTTAGGTGTTTGGTCCTCCCTCAAACATGAACACCATATTTTCCGATATCATACTATATGAGCCATAAAAGCACGATGTAGCCAAATATGATGCTCAAAAAAACAAAAACAAATATGCATCTTTTGTCTTAAAGTTCAATAAACTGCTCCATTTAAAAAACAATATAGATTTCTGACTATTATTTTATATCTCCACACAAAGATATTAGGATTGGCTTGGTCAGTGTCCCTACATTGCTTCCGTGTCATATTTACTTGTTATATCCAATTTCAGAAATGTTTGCAATTATGGTTTAGATGTAAGAAAGTGTGTATTTCCTATTTGAAATCTAAATGATTAAGATAAAAGCTGAGCTCAGCAAACTGTTTGCGAGATGCTTACACATACTCCCGACAAGCAAACATAGTGCGCACGTTTGCTGAGAACACTTACATACATGTATACGCTTTACATCAAGGGTGAAACTAACAAAGTTTCTGGAACATCATAAGTTTTGTCATAGCAGGAACTACTTGTTTATGATTCCAGGCAATGCATCACAGTGAAATATAAGCACTCGGAACAACAAATTTGTTAAAAGGCAAGTAATGACGTTGCTATATTAAACAGTTTATTTTAAGATATTTAAATGCATGTCATATTTCGGACGTTGTTCTATACAGAAAAGTCTGTTAGTAACATTAATGTTAAGGAGTACAGTTAATGTCTCTTTCAGTCTTCTCGCATCTGTTTTGGAGAAATAGCTTCGCAAAATATACGTCAGCAAAAAAGAGTCATTTTACTGGCAACTGGCACGTTTTTTTCTGTTGGATTGAAAGCATGTGCATACCAGCTGTTTATAAGGCATAATCTGGACTGCAAGTCATAGCACAACTCAATCAAAAAGTAGAAGAGCAGCTGATATCATTCAAGATGCTGAACAGACAGGAAACACGGGACACGCTGTGAAGGGAGGATTTCGGCTACCACAAGTTGTCTAATATTTCACACATCTGTAAAAACAAAGCAGAGTTCAAACAGACAGTCTTACGCGGTGGTGCCAGCAGGGGCCAACACATTCTTTCCCAAACTAGTGCAGTGCAGAACCTCTTTACTCCACTGGGCTGTGCTAATGCCAGGAAAAGTGCACTTAAGGTCTTCACCGTTTGGCCTCCGTCCCATTGCACATGCATTGACGTCTGCTCAGTAAAGCCAAAAAAGGGCAGACCTGTCCAACAGTAGCTCACTCACCCAGAGTCTGCAATTTCATACTAGATTTAGTGACTAGAAACTAATAAACTCAGTACAGTATGACCTTATATTTGCAACATCAGCATAGCCAGCTCAGACAGGTGTGACACACGCCACATGATCTTAAAAACTAAGCTTGAATGTTTTGTTTGTAAGCAAGGGTACGTGGCTTAATGAAGTGCTGTGGCTACCAATATTTCACACTTTTCTACTTAGTTAAATCTTAATAAAAATAAGTGCCACAAAGTTAGTAAGTCTCTACAGAATAGCCCAAAACAGCCCTAGACATAACTGATCATTTAGATCACAAAACAAAATAAATATAATGGTATAAATAATTAAGAATAATAATTAGTTTTGTAGACATTCTACTTTACATGACAAAACATTTTTCAGCGTATTATTTTATTGCTGATAATGTTACAAATTATTAAATGATCAACTCTGAGGTGTGTTGCTAAAATGAAAGCGTACCTGTGTCTGCTGGTCACCTTAGATCCACTCTGTGCAGCTGATACAGACTGACTCTCATCCACATGTTGAGTGTATCGTGACTCGTACGTTCCTGCTCCCCAAATATCTCCAGGCAAAATCAGCGCCAATAGAGTCAATAAGCAAACAAAATATAGTGCCATGACTTCCAAGTAAAAACAGATTTTTAAAAATAACGATCGTTACATCCAACAGCTTCAGCTTAGAAAATGCGCCTTGTGCGCATCGAGTGCAGTCCGACAGCCCTGTTAACTCTCCACTGATGTACTTCATAAAGTTCTGTGTAAGTGCTGTCTAAGTTTATGCACCTTTGTCATCATTTCGCAAAGTTTCCATTAAACTTAAAAGATGCCGTCAGTTCACCCATGACTCACGGTCCGCAGTCAAACACTAATGAGAAGTGTCCGGTTTTTCTCTTCATCGCCTGCGCAGTCATAATGTGAAAACTGCCTTGAAATGATGCGGATCCAAAACTCCTGTGCTCCCTTCCCCTCCTTCTTCTCAACCTCAACCCCCGCCCATCTTCC